CGTGGCCCGTTAGCAGGAAGCCGAGCAGTCGCCCCGACGCTAGAGAGGGACCCAATTCGAGTCCCCGAGCCCACGAGTCCGAGCGGTGTGTACTGCGTGCTCCGCGCTGCCCGACAGTTCCCAGCCAAACTTCGCCAACTCCGCCGCCTTTGCCGCCACCATGCCCAAGACGGTGAGTGCGGGAGTGAGCGCTGTCGACCTCTGGTCGGTCCCGCAGACCCTCGTAGCCCTTTGCTGGTGGCCAGGGATTTGGCCGGCTACCAGTCCTTCTGGGACGCCGCGCCCTCAGCCATGGCCTGGGGTGGGGAGGGGAGGGAAGGCGAGGGGGGTCTCGGGGTTGAGGGGGTGTCCAGGCTGGAAGTGTGGGAAGGGCGGGGCTGGCCTTTTTCTGAAGATCCACTTTCCTGCGTCGGGGATGCGGCATTGAGGAAGGCTTTATTGGGGGCTTAGGGTCTCCAGCTTCCCCCAAAGGGCCGCGGACGCAGGGGGGATGACTGTGGTTCAGAAGAGAACACTTTCCCCTGCCCAGGAATTGGCGCGTTTCTGGGGAAAGGCTGCCCCAGTCCTGGATAGGCATGGGAACCTGGGAAACTGGGTGGAAGGAGGGAGCGGCTCAGGGCGGATCCCGCACCCCCACTCACCTTTCCCCACAGCTTCCCCGGGTGGCTCCAGCTGTTTCCCACTGAGAGGAAAGATGTGGGGGTTCATCATCTAGGTTGCTCCCATGTACCCAGGAGCGCCAACATTTCCCTAGGGACCAGACTGAGGAGAGGCCTACGCCACTTCCTGGGAGAGAAGACCGGTTTCTCCTTCCCTCCACCCACCAAATCCCTGCCCTTGCCATTACTTAATGCCTCTCTGTCCTCTCCAGACTGTGCTGAGAGGTGTGAGTTCTCTGCTGTGGGGCCACACCTTTCTAGAGCGGTGGTTGATCCACCCCACTGGCTGTTATGAGAAGAACAGAAGCCTCCTGGGAGTGGGGCCTAGGGGGGCCGGATGCCCAGGAGGGAGGGGCGGGGGAGGGGTGTGCCTGACTAATGAGCTCTGCTTGCTTTTGTGCAAGTCATGCCAAATGGCTGCTGGGGCCCTTCCCTTGTTCACGAAGGCCTGGTGAGCATCCTGGCTTGAGTCCCTTAGGCCAAGCAGCTTGTTGAGCTGGCCTAGACTATGCAGTGTTTCCAGACTTGTCTCCCTAGGACTGCCTAAGGCTAGTAAAGCTGTGACAGTGACAAGGAGCCTTGAGAAGGGTGGAGAGACCCTGGGGATGAGAGGAGAGTGGGGAGAGCAGTTCTTTGGGTGCGTGCTGAGCTTTCGTTGCCATATTGTCATATTCCGGCCTCACTGCCAGGTCATTCTTGCCTCTCCAGAACTCTGTCCTTCAGAAACACCACACTTTCAACAAGTATGCACTTCCACCATCTCTTTTAAATTGCCGGTGGTTTTATGACATAGGGCATTTCTGTACTTTACTTCCAAAAACCTTCTGGCAACAAAATGAGAGAATGGTTTTGTAAATTGTTGGGAATCCACTGTCACTGCCAACACAGAATATTATACAGATCCTTCTGTTAATCTCTCTTTGTGCCTATCTCACTGTGGTTGACTTCTGACTCCTCTGAAGGTGTGATTTTGCCTGAACAGATAGATGGGTGGATCTCTGGGAGTAGACTTTGCTCTCCAGTTCCTTATGGAATATCTCATTCTCAATTCTGAGATATTCCACTCTTTTTTTAAAAAATTATTTATTCTAATGGCAGAGAGAGAGAGAGAGAGAGAGAGAGCAAGCGATCATCTGTTCTTGGTTCACTCCTCAAGTATTCACAATACCTATGCCTAAGCCAGGCTAGAGCCAGGATCCTGGAACCTTCCATATTGGTCGCACAGACACAAGTACTTGGAACATCCTCTGCTGCGTTCCCAGATGCATTAGTAGGAAGCTGGATTGGAAGTGGAGTTGAACTGGCACTCTGTAATGGGTTGTAGGTCTCTCAAGTGGCAACTGTGCCACAATGCCTGCCCCAATATCCCACCTTAAACAGGACTTGATAAGCCTGAAAATTGCATCAAAATTGCTTTAACCATCCCATCTCAGTCAAAAGTTGCAAAGAAGATGATGTGCTGATTTTTTTCCTGGGTGTGGGGAGAGATTAGAGTATGAGTTGTTTGGGATCAGTCCTAGGGTACTAGAAGCACCTGAATAGTGAAGGTACTCCTATGCAAATTACTGAAACTTGAACGAAATTGGAAGAAAGGACTTGAATTTTGATGGACTGGAAGTATTAGAGAATTTTCCATCCTGTTAGACCCAAGGAATTGTTAAATTTTATAGAAAATAACTGTGTCATTCCCGTTAAGACCACAGAATCCTAACCTGAAAGGCACTTCAGAGGCTCTCTGTCTAGTATATCCCTCTTAAAGCATTGATGCTTACGCTTACAGGAAAGGACCTACCTAAGGACATATGGTGTCTGAGCCAAGATTGGGGTCCAAGTGTTATGATTTCTGTCCCACTGATCACCTACTCTGGACCCATGATTGGGTTCTTTTTTTTCTTTTAAAGATTTTATTTATTTATTTGAAAGGTGGAGTTACAGACAGAGAGAAGGAGAGTCAGAGAGAAAGATCTCCCAATTGCTGGTTTACTCCTCAAAAGGCTGCAACTGCTGGAGCTGGGCCTATGGAAGCCAAGAGCCAGCAGCTTCTTCCGGGCCTCCCACGTGGGTGTAGGGGCAAGCGCCATCTTCTACTGCTTTCCCAGGCCATAGAAGAGAGCTGGATCAGAGGAGGAGCAGCCAGGACACCAGCCTACGCCCATATGGGATGCTGATGCTGCAGGTGGAGGCTTAGCCTATCCGTAGCGCCGACAACCGCATTGATTGGGTTCTTGAAGTCTGAATCTTCTATTTCCCAGTGCAAATTGCGCTCATTCTCAGACCTTCATGGTCTTTGGATAAAAGGAAGTGCATAATTTGGGCAAAGTGACCAATGGTGACATTTGTGTGGTCTCTTGTTAAGATCTGGGAGTGTTACTAGGTGCCTCCTGTACTTTCCTTATTCCTCATCATAAGGCTGGTATGTCTAGGGACACACCCTAGTTCACTGAATACCAGTCAGGAACTTTAAAGAAGAGGGAAAATTCCCTATTCTCCACTCTTTTGACACTGATATACTTTAGGCTATTTCTGGAGTATGACAGAGAAGGGTAGTGGAAAATCAAACCTGTTCATTCATGTGAACCATGTCTTCAGTGTATCCAGGGTCAGTTTCGCTTTTCTAGCCAATTGTCTGACCTAGTCAGTGTAGCCTCCCTTAAATCTGTTACAACATGCCTCACCCTCCTCTCCCCCCTTTTGGCATTCTTGAACTCTGTTTCTGGTTGCCAGTTTTCTGAATCTGCTTTGGTAGCCAGAATAGAGAGCTTATTAACTACCATCTATACCTTCTCGTGATGATGAGACAGTTAAATACTTTAAAAAGTCTTTCCTTCTCTCCTAACCCTCTTTATTTCTTTTCTTTTCTTTTTTTTAGATCACAAAGGCTTTGAGACTCTCTTTGGTTCCCTAAAAATACATTGTTTTGAGTTTTCAAGATGTTCTTAAGTTTTGAGTCCCCCCCCACCTTAGGATTTATTAAATGCTAGAGTTGAGAAGTCTTTCCATAATGATCAAGTCCAACCTTTCTCACTATATAGGTAGGGAGACCGAGATCCACGATAGGGAGGGACTAACCTAGAGAAATGCAGCATGCCAGTAGCAAAGCTAGGACTCTAGTGTAGGTATTAAAGGGTCAGTCTTGGTAAAAACTCTTTGATTTGCTGCGCTTTTGGCCCTAGATCAACAACAAATCAAGGCAAGGGGATCAAGTAGTCATTTGATGGAACCATCCATGTGATGAGACATAGAGCCAAGCCCCTTGAAGTATTAGAGGGCTTTTGGGTATGCCTTCAGCTAAACTTTAACAGGGGCTGTGTGCACTGTTTATTCTCCTGCCATTCCTAGCATTGCTTGAGCCACTCGAGTGGCACAAAAGTGGTATTTGGCGAATAGGAGGCAGAATCTCAGTCTTTTAACCCTTGTACTAGTCCTACCTGTAGACCTCAGGGTGGAGCAAAGGATCATAAATGGAGGCTATGTGAGAGAGGCTTCTGCGTCTCTCCACTGCTTTAATTCTCTAGTTCACTCAGTCCTTTATTCAAGTACAGACGAAACAGAGCAGGAACCATCTTGGGGATTTCCTTGAGGACTGTCTTTGAACAGCCCTTTGGGCAGGGAGAGGCTGGTGGAGCAAGAGGTCCTTTGTGGGAACCTCAAAAGCAACTAATGTGCACTGTCCTATGTTAGGCTTGGCTGCTCTGTGAATCAGTGATAGAGGTGGTGTTGTTCATGAATCTGTTAACTTTCCATTATTCTTTAGTTGCCCTTAACAGCGGCTTTAACTTTTCTCTTGTCTCCTCTTCTCATGTGACTTCTTTACTACATGGTGGAGCTGGAAAGGACATTGAGAGCTGTTATCTGGTCTACTCCCCTGCTTCTAAACCTAATTCTCCAAGGATGAGATGATATGACAGCTACAATTATTCTGAACTCAGATCTAATAGTGTTGCTTGGCAACAGCCTGTCTTAGGTCCCTTTGTATTTTCCTGGGAGTCCCCCCACCCCCTGGAATTTGTATACTTAGGGTCCCCAGAGGGAGAAGATTTGGCTATCAATACTACCAGGGTTGGGCCTTTCATGGCCAGAGCTGTTCTGATCTTCCAAGATAGAATTGCAGCTGCCCCTGATCTTACAAAGATAGGACTGAGTTTATCATTTGCTTCTTTCCTGACTCACAATGTTTTCTTCTCATGCTACCCTACCTCATTCTTTTGCCCCAAAAGAAAAACAAAACAAAGTACAAAGGTGGTCTCTTTTGGAAAAGTCTATTGGTCAAATGAAGGGTGTGGTCTTTTCATGATTGACTGGCTCTGCTGTTCATCCCTCCTCCCATTTCATGCTTGATAGAGCTGAAAAACTTTTCAATTCCAGGTTCTAATTTGTGGTATAAGAACTGTCACTTTGGAGAGTTAACTTAAGATTTCATCAATTTAGAAGGTGGATGTTGGGAAATGGTAGATAGTACTGAATTGAGAATTTTTCTTCTTTGCTTTCCATGCACAAAGACCTCTTTCCTGTC